CCAGTGGTAGCTCAAGACCGAGGTGGGATTCGTCGCTGGCGCCGTCGGTCCGTGCTTCCATGCCCAGCATTCTTGGCCGACAAATATCCATCAGGCGGTCGCAGCTAGGGCTCATGTTTTAGGCACCTCTGTCAGACTCTAGTCAGAAATTCCCTTTCTGCAACCGCAGTGCGCAGGTTTCCGAAGGACCGTATTTCACTTGGACATGATCTGCTCCATCACGCACTCTAATTTATGTGGATATCCTTTCATTCGGTGGCGGGATAATGTTCTTGGTTAAATCACAACACAACTCCCTTCTCTCCCAACTCAAGGCTGCATTCTTTTCCCTATGGGTGATCCGTTGGTTCAGATGGCCACCGGATCAGGTGCGTCACCTTGTCATAATCTTTTCGATTCCTTGTAGAAATTTTCATTCCCTTTGGTTTGTGGAACCGAAAACCAACTCTTCTATTTCTAATGTCTGTTGGCAAGGTTAATTATCCATGAGAACTTGGGTGATTTGGTTAATTAGCACTCACTCTACTAGTATAGTAGGGACCGGATCTACCGAACTAAGTATGTACTACGGCCCGTTCTCTAGTGCCACCCCATCGTACTTGACTGGTGACTTCTCCAGTGACTTCGGTTGGGACAGAGCAAGTAGATTGTAGCAAATGTTAGTCGCGTTACAGGATGCTTGGAAATATTCATCAACTCTGATTCATGTGAATCTGCAAAATTGCCCTTGTTAGTGTTGTCAAAGCTCCATTTCAAGCTCTCGTTTTGCCCACTAACACCTGCAAGAATAGTTTTTCCCTTTTGCCATCCCTTTAGAGCATTTAGCCAAATGCTCACGAAAATGACCCAACAGATTCAAAGAAAATTGCGTGGGGATGTACTTCGGCCCGTTCTCTAGTGCCACCCCATCGTACTTGACTGGTGAGTTCCTGGGAGACTCTAGCAAACGGTAGTCGTGTTGCAGCCTGCCAAAAAATATTCATCAACTCTGATTCATGTGAATCTGCAAAAGTGCGCTTGCTAGTGTTGTCAAAGATACATTTCAAGCGCTTGTCTTGCCCACTAACACCTGCAAGAATAATTCTTCCCTTTTGCTATCCCTTCACAGCATTTCGCCAAATGCTCACAAAAATGTCCCAACAAATTCAAAGAAAACTGCGTCGGGATGTCCAAGAGTTTTGGACTGGGGTTGGACCAATCTCTAGAGGTAGTAACCATAGTTGCACAATTTTCTCAGCAAGAAGAATCCTTGCTATATATGACACGAAACAACCTCCACGATTCAAGAAATCATAAATTCTGTCAAACTCAAAGACTTAAGCTCTATCCTTAGTCCATGTTTTCGAGGAGTTGGTTGGCTTCAACGAACCAACTCATCATGCGTTAGTTGCTCCGATCATTTGGGTGACTTGGCTAATTATCTTTCACTCTAATATAGTAGGTTCAAGGATAATTAACCTAAACAGAGTGATAACCAGCGGTTCACTAATTTTAATATATTCATTTATAGTTCATTTTGATCAAGTATCAAAATGAACAGTAAAATCCACAAGAAGAAAAGTGTCCACATCTTTCCAAAAACAACGAATTGCCAAAGCTATCGAGTATTTTAAGTATTCTATATCATATAAGCTACCAACTTGTGATACCATTAGGGCGCGGCAGCTGGGTGTGACATTTCTAGGTATGGGATTTGAGCCAATCCATACACATGAAAGTACAGGTTTTGTTGGTGTTATGATGGTCATTGTACCTCACGAAGTTCTCGGTGCTCTTGCTAAATTCTGCAAATATTATGGTCTACAAGGGTGTCAAAATTTTTTCAGTTGGTTATAGAGATGGAGAGAATGTCCAACATGATGAGGATTGTGTAAATTGTGATAAAAGGCATGGAGCACACTTGTTCTTGTCATTTTGCCTAAACTACTTCACAACACAAAGCAAAAATTGGATGCTTATTCAGGTCCATCTTCTACCATGATAACCCTTGTTCTGTCTTGAAGGAGATTAAAGATGTGGTGGGTGCAACTAAGTTACTGGGAGGAAGATGAGCTCTCACTTTTGTTCTTTGTTAAATGGACGAGACTTTCTTCTTGGCCTAGGTTGGTTTATTCATCAATTTATGTGATTTACATTTCATTTATGTGTCTCTGCTTCATTATTTCTTATTATTACGATATTGTTGTAGCTATTAGTTATTGTATCTGTAGTTGTGAGTCACTTGTATTGTATCATAACACAGGCATTGAAAAGGGTTCAAGAATTCACGTCAATCCAGATTAAAAGTTCAGAAAAAACAAGAAGTATCTACAAGCTGTCAATTCCTCCATGTTGTCCAACATTTATGTACTATTGTGTACGTAATTTCATCTTTGAATAACAAAGGGGAGGTAAATGGTAAATAGATCAAGCCCGTGGGACCCAAAGGGTCAAAAAGCTAAAAAACAGAAAACAAACAAACAACAAACTCCAAACCAGGAGAGAACCAAAAGAACCCCCTAGCTAGTGCCCATACCACTAGAACAAATACTAAAAACGTCACTCATAAAACTACCTAAATCGTAATTCTCAAGCTGCAGTAAAAAATAAAAATTCTCAACAAAAACCTTATGAGACACTCTAATCTCAATATATCTAGTACAAGTAACAAACACATGCTCTTCATCCTCAACTTTTCTTCCATCACATACCTTACAGATACGTTCACTCCTATCAATGTTCAACAAACTCACTTCCTCAATCCCAAGACTATAAGATATTGTTCTATGTCAAGCAATAATATGACATAAAAATGTAGAGATGTCCGCAAGTAAATATCATCGTTCACAATAAACAAACATAGGATTCACACGAGAACTAGTTAGCCGTCACTTAGGGTTAATTAGCCCTCACCCTAATATACATGATTCTCTGATTGGTACTACACTCTAAACTTATTGCTACTCATCCGAGTAACCTATAACACTGCAACTTCCAATGAGAGAAGAGTGTGGAGTAGAATGAGGTCTAATTAGCCCTAAGAAAAGAATAACCACTAGTCCATAACAAGAGAAATTGTCTTGCAGGACATGTTAAGTGAAGAAGTTCAATAAGCTCTTCGGTGGACTTCATGGGCTTGCGAAGATCTTTATCTTCCACAAAAATTTTGGCATGCTCTGAGGATTGGAAAGTAGGCGTGTATGATTACTCTGCAGAAGAACAAACTTAGAACCCACTACAGTAGAGCTGTAATATGTCCAATGTAACCCTCTGGTTTGATATTTCCGACAAAAAACTCAATTCCTAGAGTAGGAATGGACTCGTGTTAAGCTTTGGTTCCAGCAAAAGTAATGTAGCTCCTTAGGCACTGAAATCTCCAGTCCGTGGCCTCGGGTTCATCCATATTCTTGGACAGCCCGAGAACGCCAACGCTCTTCCATGTAATTGCGACTCTGGTGTGAAGGACTCTTATTTACAGAGCTGTCCCGGTGCAGTCTATCAGATCTATCGCACTGTATACATATCACTTCTTCGTGTGTCCAGTTAATTTCAATTGAACATATCTCCTCCCTCAGTACAACAGCAACTCACCGATTGCTATCTATTTGCATCCACTTCAGTTCATTGCATTCTGTCATGTACTCCCACATTGTTCTGAGCGACTGTAACCGAATGGGGTCCAATCTTCGATTTGGGTCGCTTACATCTTCTTACACCCTTTCAGACAGTCTATACCAAAGAACCTTCAGAGACAGAGAGCATAAGTCTCCAAATTAGTGACACATTTTATCCTTGTTCAGTCGGCACATCTCCATACCCCACATGGAAAAACTGGAAACAAGGTCCTGATGGGAATGGATAACCAGGTTAAGCTTTGGTTACATAATCGTCAGATCGTGAAACGAATTCCACTTGTCAAGCTTTATTAACCTTGAAGCAGATGGCATGAGATTTCTGCTGCTGTCATTCCACAAGCTTACAAATGAACGTCCTTGGTGAAGACACAAGGAGGAACCAGACATGTCGTGGTTTCCTACTTCAAACTGCCCTCTTCAATGTTCACCTGTCATAGCCTGTAAACCTTGGATACTCTGTTTTCGCTCGGCGAAGCTACGACGAAGGACGAGGAGCAAATTGGGACGAAGACTAAGTTCCTGTTAATGTCCATAGATGTGTTCGGAATTTCTAGATTTCAACCAAGTAACTCATCCTCCCGTCAAGTTCGTGTGTCCAAAGGATATCCTGTGTCAGAGTAGAGTCTTTGGACGTCGAATCAGAGCTTAGGAATTCAAAGTAAGTTCCAATTGTGTGCTCGGTTACTGTGGTAATACCCCAAAGTCCTGGTTCGAAAGTTCAATCAAAATTAACGTTCCTTGTTCGAGATTGTGATGCTGTGAATTCACCACTGATGGTGACAGTGCCCTTTCGACGACCAGGAACTTCGCAAGGCTCTGCCAGTGTTTGTAGCAAACAAAACTATTCCTGAAGATGTTAAGAGGACAACATTGGAAGGAACGATAGTTCTCGCTGACCCATTCTGCACAGGTGAAGTGCAGCTTTAACATAAGCTATGTTTGCAAGGCAAGAGGACCCTCAGAGTTTGAGATTATCGATGCTTAACCGCTATAGCAGTGGAACCAAACAGCACAAATAGAACAGACTTTCTCCACCTCTTAGGGATACATGTGACACTGTATTTGGGGGTCATAGATAAGATCCCCTAGAGAAAGAAATAGCTTCATCATGATGGTCCTGTCAGTGCTCGATTGTAATCTGCGTCTGCCAATCAGAAGAGCAGAAGCAAGAAGCTTCCCGTGCTTTGTTATAGAAGCTTCCCCTTCCCCTTTTAGAAGGTACAGTATGAAAGCTGATGCACACTACAAACGAGGTTTCTGACCTTCACTAGGCTCCACTTTGATTTTGATTTATGTTTTCCGTTTTAGTCCGCTTCGGACTTCCGTAGTATAGCACCTTTTACTCTCATTCCTTAATACAAAACGGAGATGTGACATCGCCATTACGTTCATCCTCATAGTGTTTGACACACAAGCAATTCATTGAAAGCGTCACCCTTAATCACATACTTTACAAATAGATTCATTTCGATCGGCAAATTTCTTCACCTAATAAATAGCGAAACTATCCATTGAACGATGGAGGACACTGCCCAAAGAACTCCGAGCATAACAACAAGTCCGGCTATGATTGTCAAGACTGGTGGTCCACTGCTATTCTCCACGTCCTTTGCTCCAGGGCTGGAATCGGAAGCCACGGGCTTCTCCTCGTTGCTTATAATTTCCTTCTCACTACTCGCTTGCAAAACCCACTCACGTTGCTTTCTCCCAATCCTTGATGAAGTCCTTAAGCTTCCTACACATTGCAGAGGACATAACCCAATCATTTGGGTGAAAAGAGACAAGTTAGAGCAAGTAGTCCAAAGTTTGGGTTTCATATTAGCTCCAAGATTACATCTCGTATTTTAGGACCCCACAGCAATTCCATCTAGAGCAAGACACAGGAGAATGTCACTGACACACTAATCTTCAAACTCCCCACCTTCTTGGGTGTCATCGGACAATCAATTAGCGTCTGCTCAAGGCAGATTGGACTTCTCAACTCAGAATTTTCTGTATTCAAGAGTCGAAGTCAAACAAGAACTAACTCAATTGCTTTACATATAACTAGTGCTCAAACTTCGTGTTCAAAACAGCAAGAGTCATCCTGTCAATACCAGACTGTACCGAGTCAAAGCAATCACATACTGGAGCCGTTCGGATTTCCTCTTCCTATAAAGCACCAGAGTAGACTTACAACAACAGGGAGTAGGAATTTTTTCACATTGAGGTTTAAATCCCCATAGACAGAGCAAGGCAGAACGAAGGCACGTGGCCAATCAGTAGTTAAAAGGATAAACAGAGCTTTAGAGTCTTTGAAGTACAGAAGCTGGAAGAAACACATTGATCTTCTATGATTATTTCAGCGGCGAGTATTTGGCACTACAATTTCATTCGCATGAGTTCCAAGAAGCTTTCCATGGGGACCACGACCTGGGCTTTTGCTAGAAAAGAGCTCGTGATGTTATTGAACATTGGACTGCTCATCTCTACATAGTCAACTTTGATCTCGAAACGACTGGCAAATGGTGAGAAGGCTTGGTGATGCTACAAGAAACAGATTTGAAAGAAAATTCGCTCGTGTAGGTTTAGTTCGCAAGATCTGGCACACCCAACGTGACAGGAAAGAGTAACTCCAATTTATGAACTTCTCACACGGACAAGGAATGTGTAAAAGTTTCGGACAGAAACTTTGCACAAAACTGGCAGATGAATCAAACAAATTCTAGGATTTCCAGTTTTGGTCAGTGATGAGTGCCCGTATGACAGCTTGCCATGCGTTACAAGAAATCTACCAAAGTGAACAGAGCGCCACATAACACGAACGCAACATGACAGTGCAGGCCTTACCGCAATGGTGCAACTTCTCTGCGACATCCTTCCTCCTGCGATCCAAGAGCAAGCAAGCTATCAAGCCCCAATCCGCAAGAAGAAAGACATTCGACCTTTAATGCGCTACCATAGACGTAACAAAGTCATCCGATGGAGATTCGTGGAATGAATTTCACAGTCCAGACTCATAGCCATAGCTGCCAAGTTCATTACATTCCCATTTAGAGCAGCTCAGTGCACAGTCGACTCTCCAATCTTCCTAAACCCGAACAATTTGAGACCTCACAGCAAGCATTGGAAATCAGATCACGAGTACAAGCTCGATCGTACCGCAGAAGTGCAGACGACTGAAATGTCGAGAGGCGGGCACTCTTGCTCCGGACAGGCGGGCACAGACCGGGAATGCCGAGGACGGAGAGCTGCGCAGTCAGAGCCATATTCCGCTCGTACAATCAATCCACGCGAGGCAGAGAGAGTAATTGTGAAATCGTGAAATCGATGCGCAGCTGCGCCAGCGATGGCTGCGAAGATAGAGCACCCTCCTCTCCGCTGGCGACTGGATGCCGGAACCCGACGCACCGGACGTTAGCTGACGTTATCGGCTTTCCATCGTTTTGTCTTCTAGTACACGGTCCACATTTCGAACTACTGTGCTCCACTTCACGTGAGATGTACGAGGGAACGTTAGGGGCTGCAAACCCAAATTCCTGAGGCACGTTCGGGAGTGAGCACCTCGCCCATCCTTCGCACATCACTTCTACGCAGAAACATGCAACCCTGCTCGGTATGAGGAGAACGACGAAGAGTTTTCAAGGCCGCTAGAGACGAGATGAATCGCTGAAGAACCCTCCACCGCCACGGATGAAGGAGAGTGCAAAGTGTCAGTGTTAGCTGCGGGCATACAGACGTAACCAACTAGACAAGATTAACTCACGTGTAACAATCATATTTTCTTGTACAGGAGTTATTTTTCACCACTTGTTGCTGTTTTGCGAGAGCAGATTGAATGCCGATACGGATTATGGTGTAATATTCTTGATTTTCGTTACTATTGCTTCGCACGAGAAAAGAAAGTACGAGTACATAAAATCCGTTCCTCAATACTGTCGACGTACTTGGGGAAGTGGACTTTTACACCCAATTAGTAAAACTTGATAACAATTAGACCTTTCTGATACCTCCTTCACTAACCTCGTAATCGCGCGCTTTAGTCATTTGACTGGGCTTTATAGTCGTCTTGCTAACCTTCGCTATGATCTCGCAACGCTGGTATTTATTGAGAATTTTCTCGTTTCTTTCTTCGACATTGCAGCTAAAAAAAACAATTATAAAGTTAATTATAAAATTATTATTAATTTGTCTAAATTGCGCTAAGTAAGCACAGTACTGCCAGGTTCAAGTTGCGTACTTAGGCGAGAGACTACTGAAATGATTCCAAGCTTATACCATGCCTCAAACACTCCATCTTTCGTCCAGCCCTTTCGAAGCATGAAATTTGTGATTGTTGTCAAATGCTCTTCGCATGCCACTGAAACACACAAAATAAAGATTCTCATGGTTCAAAGTCTTGGCTTCATATAATATGAACTAGGAGAATTTCTTTGCTGAAACTTTTTGAAATTGCTACAATGGCCCATTGTTTGTAACCACGGTGTTCATCCTCCGACATAAAGGGAAGGGTTTGCACATAAACCTTGGTGTTTACACATAAAGTGAAGTTTCCCTTTATGTGTAAAACTTGACCCGAACTCTTTCTGTTTACTTCGAACGAACATCCAGACGTTTTAGGACTTTATCTGCCTCACATCGTTAGAGCTCAAGAAGTCAAAAGACCAGTACGAAATATGTCCGAAATAAAGTTTTGCGAGTATGTTTTGATCTTTTGGAAGATGCTACTACTGGGTTTGCTATGCTTCCCTTATTAATATGTAACAGATATTAAATTTTGTTAACAAATATTGATTTATGTTGGGATTTTGAAACTGAACAGAAGATATTGCTAGAATTTGTAATGAATATTGTTGAACAATGTGCAATATCAATCTTTGCTGTTGAGATTTAGTAAAAATCATGAAATGATGTTAAACTTGAACTTAGTAATAATATATCAATCTAACACTATTTTTTTTGAATGCCATGAATAATCTTCATGATGTCATCAATATTTAATATTGAAGTTCAAAAATATCATGATTATGTGTTAAAATTTATCCTGATAATATATTATTATAATATTATATTCCCACGCAAGATTATATAATATATTATTGATCACGCAAATTGGCCAAGTAAATACGGACACAACACACGTGCAGCTGATTAGGCGCGGACAGTTTACGTAGTGCGTAGAATGTGCAAAGAGCTGCCACGTGGCAGGACATGCTACAAGGATAGATCAAACGTGCAGACATGTAAGCAAATAGTTCGAGCAATCGTAGACAGGTTGGATAACGAGGACAAGTTTGAGCAGTCTCATGTAACTTGTTGAAGATGTGACAAGACTGGTCACATCAAGAGAGACTATCATGTGAAGGTCAAAGGCGCAGTTCTTCCTTCATTAACAAACGTTGAAGAATACCTCAACCTCGAGGATGACGATCTGCCGAATGAAAGTTTATGATAGTTAGAGTGTTATAGATTTGACTACAAACCAGGTTATGTACAGCAGAATGAAGCGCGTCGACATCCTGTATCATTTTATTAAACAAGAGATTTCTGATAAAACGACTGAATTAGTCAAGATAGACAAGTAAATTTAATCCAACAGATGCATTATTTAATGACCAATTCATGTATTTTGGATTAACCTCTAGTTAGCATAGTTGAGCATAATTGGAGCAAATCAAGTGAGTTGAGATAGATAATGTGTTTTTTGGATGAAGCATGTGTGGTAACTCAAATTATAAATCCTCTCACAGTCTTGTAAATGCTAGAGTAGCAATTCGGTGATGCGATTCGAAGAATCTAAGAGGTGCACAAGCAAAACACTGAACCTTCGGATTAGTTCAAGCATGCAGTCTTGTAAATGTTAGAGTAGCAATTTGGTGATGTGATTTGGAGAATCTAAGAGGTGCACAAGCAAAACACTAAACCTTCAGAGCAGTTTAAGCATGCAGTCTTGTAAATGCTAGAGTAGCAATTTGGTGATGCGATTCAGAGAATCTAAGAGATGCACAGACAAAACACTGAACCTTCAGAGCACTTCAAGCATGTAGTCTTGTAAATGCTAGAGTAGCAATTCGGTGATGCGGTGATGCGATTGAAAGAATATAAGAGATGCACAGGCAAAACACTGAACCTTCGGAGCGATTCAATCATGTAGTCTTGTAAATGCTAGAGTAGCAATTCAATGATGCGATTCAAAGAATCTAGGAGGTGCACGGGCAAAACCCTTAATCTTTGAAGCAGTTCAAGTATGCAGTCTTATAAATGCTAGAGTAGCAATTTGGTGATGCAATTCAGAGAATCTAAGAGATGCACAGACAAAACACTAAACCTTCATAGCAGTTCAAGCATGTAGTCTTGTAAATGCTAGAGTAGCAATTCGGTGATGCGGTGATGCGATTGAAAGAATATAAGAGATGCACAGGCAAAACACTGAACCTTCGGAGCGGTTCAATCATGTAGTCTTGTAAATGCTAGAGTAGCAATTCAATGATGCGATTCAAAGAATCTAGGAGGTGCACGGGCAAAACCCTTAATCTTTGAAGCAGTTCAAGTATGCAGTCTTATAAATGCTAGAGTAGCAATTTGGTGATGCAATTTAGAGAATCTAAGAGATGCACAGACAAAACACTGAACCTTCATAGCAGTTCAAGCATGTAGTCTTGTAAATGCTAGAGTAGCAATTCGGTGATGCGGTGATGCGATTGAAAGAATATAAGAGATGCACAGGCAAAACACTGAACCTTCGGAGCGGTTCAATCATGTTGTCTTGTAAATGCTAGAGTAGCAATTCAATGATGCGATTCAAAGAATCTAGGAGGTGCACGGGCAAAACCCTTAATCTTTGAAGCAGTTCAAGTATGCAGTCTTATAAATGCTAGAGTAGCAATTTGGTGATGCAATTCAGAGAATCTAAGAGATGCACAGACAAAACACTGAACCTTCAGAGCAGTTCAAGCATGTAGTTTTGTAAATGCTAGAGTAGCAATTCGGTGATGCGGTGATGCGATTGAAAGAATATAAGAGATGCACAGACAAAACACTGAACCTTCATAGCAGTTCAAGCATGTAGTCTTGTAAATGCTAGAGTAGCAATTCGGTGATGCGGTGATGCGATTGAAAGAATATAAGAGATGCACAGGCAAAACACTGAAACTTCGGAGCGGTTCAATCATGTAGTCTTGTAAATGCTAGAGTAGCAATTCAATGATGAGATTCAAAGAATCTAGTAGGTGCACAGGCAAAACCTTTAATCTTTGAAGCAGTTCAAGTATGCAGTCTTATAAATGCTAGAGTAGCAATTTGGTGATGCGATTTGGAGAATCAAGGAGATGCACAGGCAAAACATTGAACCTTCAAAACAGTTCAAACATGCAGTCTTGTAAATGCTAGAGTATCAATTCGGTGATGCGATTCAAAGAATCTTGGAGATGCACAGACAAAACATTGAACCTTCGGAGTACAGTAAACTCCTAGTTAAGTACGCACTCGTTTAGGTACACATCTTGGTAAAGTACGCAATATTTTCTGGAAAAAATAAGGTTCACATTTATTCAGTTCATCAGGTCATGAATTGTTTCAAGTTTTAAAGTTTCTTGCGCTTGGCTTTCAAGCTAAGAGCCCGGATCTTACTTTGAAACAGTTCAAACGACTTTCTAATATCATCAAAGTCTACTCAGCCTCGGCTTGAATCTCCGAGCACATCAACTAATCTTCTATGTCAACAACTTGCTTATACATTGATTCGAATCCCTTGAACAAAAAGTTGTTTCCTTATTCTTCATATGTCACTTGTGATGTTACATATTCATTCTCGTTGACATCCTCTTTATTTTCTCCTGAATGCTTCATCGTTTGCAAAAGCTGGTCAACATCTTCCAAACAGAAAAGAATTTGGAAGATGCTTGCAGTTGCAAATTTTTCATTGTCTTCATCATCGATGTGAACAAATTCTCCAAGCTCATCTTGGAGAAGGGAAAGATTTAGAGCAGAAAGAGCTTGGACAACTTCGATCACTAACTCCTCTTCTTCGTTCTCTGCTTCTCCATCAGTTTCTAATGGCATGATGTCTGCCTTGATGAATGCACTCTTAATGGACGTGTGTGACACAGAGTGACATGCTTCCTTAACATAATTCGCAGCATCAAGAAGATGAGCTGGATTTCTGTAAGCAGCTCTAATAGCACCTCGTCGTAACCTTCGCCCTTGCTCTTTCTTGCAATTTTTGCTTCATCGTCCAATTGAAAAAAGTTAAGAATGTTCTTGAGATAAAGATATTTAAATCGCTTCCTCAAAGCTGCGACTATGCCCATATCACAAGGTTGTTTTCATCTAGTACAATTTGGGGAAAAGAAGGCGATCCTAATGTTGTCATGTTCAAAAAGCCTCAAAGTGCCCCAGCGCATTGTCCATCAACAAAAGGACCCGACCTCCGATTTGTTTTTCACTTCTGGCAGAAATATTTTGTTGAACCACTTCCAGCATGTTTTCTTATACATCCAAGCTTAACATTGATTGAAATAAGTAACAAGTCACTTACGGTCCTTGATACAAGCCGGTTCTTTCGGTTTGCCGATCAAAGCGCTGGGAATTTTGTGAGTTCCAACTGCATTGGCAAACACGATCAGAGAAATCCGATCTTTGGATTTTTTCTTAACTTTGATGGTCGAAATGTCTTCATCTGGCAATAAAAGACTATACCTTGGCAAGAGACGGAAAAAAAGTCTTGTCTCGTCCATATTGTAAACGTTTTTGGGTTCATAATGGGCAATAGTCGCATAGAGCTCGTCCAAAGCTGCTAGCAATTGTGAATCGGTCTTGTTGACTTCAGCTCTTCTCGTGAAGCAACATCTTCTGCAACCCTCGTCGCTGCTTGAATCTACGTAGTCATTGCCATGACGCCTTGAAGTCAATTTTTGGTACCGATAAACTCCATGCAATGCTTTTCGCCTTTGCAATGGCAAGAGACGGTGGAACAAGAAGAATGGCTCAACGCATTGTGTCAATCCAGATGTAAAGCATGTCTTCAACCTCGGTGAAACGATCAAGTGACGAGCGAAATGTATTCTTTTTAGCTTCTTCCGACATTTAAGCAGATCTTTCTAAAACCTGCTGCCGCTTCTCCCACACCTTTCTAATATCGCCTTCACTGACATTGTATTCGCGCTCTATAGCCCTTTTACTAGAAGCATTTGTTTTGCTCAGCTTCGCTACTATTTCGCATCACTGAGACTCATTGAGGAGTTTCACACTTGTGTTCTTAGACATTTCAATAACGCGAAACGGTGAAGGTGAAGAATGAGTATGCTTGAGTACTTGGCCCGCTCATATCGTTGCAGGACACGTTGAACATGAAGACATAGCTCGTTATCGGAAGCTCCTCTTTGAGTTATGGAACCACTCAACCAGTTATTGGCAAGATTCAAAAAGAAAGAAAGCTGTAGCGTTGCCGATAGTCTGCCGTGATCTTTTATGTTTCATGACAGATTCGTCAAAAGTATGCACCTACCGGCTAAGCACGCACAAACCTACAGGTTCAAGGTGCGTATTTAACGGGGAGACTATAGTAGTTCAAGCATGCAATCTTGTAAATGCTAGAGTAGCAATTCGATGATGCGATTCAAAAAATCTAGAAGATGCTGAGGCAAAACATTGAACCTTCGGAGTAGTTCAAGCATGCAATCTTGTAAATGCTAGAGTAGCAATTCTGTGATGTGATTTGAAGAATCTAGGAGATGCACGAGCAAAACATTGAACCTTTGGAGCAGTTCAAGCATGCAGTCTTGTAAATGCTAGAGTAGCAATTGGGTGATCCGATTTGGAGAATCAAAGAGATGCACGTGCAAACTATTGAACCTTCAAGGCAGTTCAAGCATGCATGATATGCACATATCCTGTACCTGGTCAAAAGGTTTTCATCAATTACAATGTTAGATTCATGTGTTTATGGTTAACCTCTAGTTAGCGAAGTTTAGCTAGCTCAACGTTTAGACTTCGGTACTTTATCCAAGGTTGAGTTTGTAAACTGACTTCTTCACATGTTAATCATAATCCACTGCGCAAATCAAGTGAGTTGAGATAGAGTATGTATTTTTTGGTTGAAGCATGTGTGATTGTTCAGATTATAAATCCTCTTCCAGTCTTGTAAATGCTAAAGTAGCAATATGTGATTTATGTTCTCACGACACAACTTGTTTTTTTCTCATAGACTAGGACAATACGGTGATGCAATTTGAAGAATCCAAAGGTGAGCTAGCTAAAATTCAAACACTAGAATTTATTGATAAAGTAGACAAAATACAGAAAAACAATTACAAAATATTAGCACGGAGTTTTGATGTTAAGACCATGTGATAAAAAACACTACAAGGCTCTGATTGTTATATTTTTAAGTGTTTTTGTTATCAGTTTAAAGTTCTAAATAAATCATAAAGTGTAAAATGGATGAAATTGATATATTTTTAAAAATTATTTAGCTATATAATATATGTTAAATTATATTATTATATAAATCTAAAATTTTTATCAAAATAAACACAAATTAATTTCTTTTAATTAATCATATATCTTCAAAAAATAAAATAATCATGTCTTAATAATTTAAAAAATAATTTTAAATGATTTTAAATATTTGTAATCTATACTAGATTACAAATAGTATAGATTTGTAATAGATAGATAGTTACTCTCTGGTGACATTCTCTTTTGGATTACCTTTTGCAAAGGATGAGACTTGATTTGAGGAAACTTAAATTTGGTTTGAAATTAAACAAAAGGTATAAAGTCTAGACTTTTGATAGATTTCATGTGTGTCACATTTCAACTTTTTTAATTTAAAATTAAAGAGAAGGTCTAAAGGCTGGTCGTTCGATAGGCGACAGGTTGGACCTCTTACGTTGCTTTAAAAACATGTGCACACACGATTCCAAAGCCTCGATACTAGATTCACAGCTTGAAATGACATTCTCTTATGAAACACCTTGTGCAGGGTAAAGGTCTTGATTTGAGGAGACTTAAATTTAATTTGAAATTAAACAGAAGGAGTAAAGCATGATCATTCGGTAGGCGACCTTTTGTACCTCTTAGTTTGTCAAAGAATAGATGCACGGATGATCCAAAGCGATGCATCATAAATTTGGCAAATATTGCGACAGCTTTGATAATAGAATCACGGCCTCCTCCGATGTCATTTTCTTGTGAAACATCTTGTGCTTGCGATGGAACTTGATTTTAGAATATTTAAATTTGATTTGAAATTAAAGAGATGAGGTAAAGGCTAGCTAATTGATAGATGTCATATGTGGCATTTTTCAACTCTCCTGGCTTGAAATTAAACATAAGGTTAAAGGCTGGCCGTCCGGTAGATATTAGGTGTGACGTTTTTCAAGTCTTGTGGTTTGAAATTAAATGGATGAGTAAAGGTTGGCCGTTCGGTAGGCGACAATTTGGACCTTTTAGTTTGTCAAAGATTAGGTGCACACGCATGTCTTTCAAGCAATGCATCATAAATTTGGCAAATATTGCAACAGCCTCGATAATAGATTCACGGGCTCGGATGTCATTCTCTTGTCTAAGACCTTGTGCCAGGAATGGACCTTGATTTGAGAATATTTAAATTTGGTTTGAAATTAAACAGATGTGCTAAAGGATGGCCTTTTGTTAAATATAATGAGTTTCATTTTCAACTCTTGTGGTTTGAAATTGAAGAGATTGTCAATTCAAGTAATATAAAAAAATTATTGCTAGTTTTAAAGTTTGATGTATTCATTAGTTTATGAATTTGAAAAATATCTCTATATATTTATTATCTAGTCAAAATTAATAAATTAAAAATTTCCAACTTTATTTTATTCTATAAATGATTCAGATTTTTTCATTAGTCAAATTAAATCTATAATAATAATAATAACTAATAATATTATAATTTACTGATATTACTGAAAATTTTCAGTTTTTTTTTTATCATATACAAATTTATAAATTAAATTTACACTTAGTTTATTTGTAAAATAAAACATTTTGGAAATTAGAAATATGATAAAAAAAAAAAAAGATTTCATATGAACGTTAAGTAAAACTACATTTAAAAGTAACTATAACATGAATTCTAGTTTATGAGAAAAAAATTTAATGTTTTTTGTTGAAAATAACTCTTCTGCAAGTTTTGCAAAATTTTTGTTCAAACTAAGATTTTTTCATATTGTTGCAGATGATTAAGTTTTCATTATTTGCATTAGTCCGCATGATAAAGATAAATTTATACATTTCGTACATAGTAGAAATTTACAGTTGTGATGATTTTGTAATTTCTATTGGCATAATAATAATTAAAGACTTTTCAAAAATATTCGATTTTTCGTTAAATATAACAATATTTTAAATAGAAATAAATTTTTAATTTAAAGTTTCAACAAAAAAGTGATTATAAGAATCAATGAAAGTTAATTTTAAGTCAAATTTGAAATTTTCATTCATTTTGAATATTATATGGAATTTAAGTATGATCATTTCAATATTTCAAACTCTTTAAAATTTATGTAGTATGATGTATAATTTGTGTGGGATATCCGTTTAAGAGAATAATCAGATCTGGTTATACTGCTGCATCATGCTCAAACTCAAACTGTTCTTATATCTCGCTGAAACCTAGATTCAACACCCAATAATTTTGATCATGACTGTTTTATAGTCATGGCCCTCTTACCATAGATGTAAATCATAAAGTTTTATCATCAGCTATTGCTTTCACCTATCTCTGTTTAACGTGGAACTGAGTGCAAATTCTAGACGACAAAATCTTATTGCCTTTGTCTTGGAACCTCATGCAAAATTGTCCAATCACCAACATATTGCAGTGATGTTTCGATTATATAAATTTAACTTAGGGTTCCCTATTGTTCACCGAGATGCAATGTATATCGTGCATGAATAATAAGGAAGTCAAGTCTAGTAAGTCAAGTTTTTGAATTGACTAGATGGAAATTGTCAATGTTCCCTACTCCTGGTAATATATTAAAACATCAAAAAAAGAATAAAAAAGGTTTGTGAGTTGGTAAATTACTGGGATTGAATGAGCACGGCGCATTGAAGATTCTCACGATGTTGATAAGAAAAAGCCCAGAGTAGCTGCATCAGTGCTCACCAGATGAGGATCTGGTGAGCACAAGAAAAGTGCCGGAGATTGTGGTGGACTGCACAAAATCCCGAGTACTCGGAAGCGGATGTGAAAGGAGAGACGAGAGAGCGAGAGATGGAGGAAGGTAGCGGCAGTAAGGACGAATGCGATGGGGAGGGGCGCGTGGCGCACGGGGCGGGAAGGGGCCGGGAAGGGGCCGGGCGAGAGGGATCGGAGGGGAGGGGAGGAGAAAAGCGGTTGAGGAGGATACGGAAGGAAGTAACTGCTTCGAGGCAAGGATCGGTCTCTGAGGTCGCGAATGGGCAGAAGCGGGGCCGAAGGGCGAAGGGCGAAGAGTGAGAGCCCAGTCTGAAACGAGAGCGACCCGAGCAGCATGTCACCGCTGACTGCTGTGGATTGAAAGGACTTGCGAGCTCTGCTGCAGCTCTCTCCTGTCCGAGGGCAGTTTTAACCGCCTGCTTCCCCGACCTCCTCCTGCACCTCCTCCCCTCACATTCTCGCCCTCGGCCCCTCCCCCTCTCACTCTCTCACTCCCTCAGCCTTTATACAACCCTCCCTCGCACAGACTCGCAAGCGGAGATAGATCGAGCTGCTGCTGCTCTGCTCTGCTCTGTCTATCTGCCGTCGTCGTCTGTCGTCCTCTCTCTCTTCGCCCTGCCCTGTTCTGATCTGCTCTGCTCTGCTCTGGTCTCGTCCAATTGGCAAATTGGCGCTCCACCACAATCCGCCGCTGCGCTCGGGTCGCAGCAGCAGGAGGAGGAGGAGGAGGAGGGAGGAAGGAAGGGAGCACGAGGTGACAGCAGCAGTCGGAGGAAGGCAAAATGAGAGAGATCTTGCACATTCAGGGGGGCCAATGCGGCAACCAGATCGGAGCCAAGTTCTGGGAGGTGATCTGCGATGAGCATGGAATCGACCCCACGGGGACGTACCATGGAGATTCGGATCTGCAATTAGAGCGGATCAATGTCTACTTTAATGAAGCCAGCGGGGGTCGCTACGTGCCCCGCGCTGTGCTCATGGACCTCGAGCCCGGAACCATGGACTCGGTGCGCTCGGGCCCTTACGGCCAGATCTTCAGACCCGACAACTTCGTCTTCGGACAGACTGGAGCAGGAAACAATTGGGCCAAAGGGCACTACACTGAGGGCGCGGAGCTCATCGACTCGGTTCTCGACGTCGTCCGCAAGGAGGCCGAGAGTTGCGATTGCCTCCAGGGTACGTCCTCGCCTTCGTCTCCGTCTCTTCACGACGCCGCGCCATGCAATTCCGCACTTTCGAGCGTCCAGCGCAGCATTCGTATTTCCGAATCGGTCCTAAATGAGCCTAAAAATGTCGACAGACACACACACTCACAAGCACAAACTCCAATCAAAGACATCACATTTTCAATTGTCGCCAATTATCTGCAAATTTTACACCGTACCTCTCATCACAAGCTGTAATACATCCTCCACGCAAAATTAAAGTCCTTTTTCTCGATAATGCTGTCGACAAAGTCGAATTTGACCAGACTTGCAATCCATAGCAGCAGCGCACATGCACATATTGAACGGAAGAGGGTACGCAAGTACAGCATGAGCCATGTTGAATTTAAGCAAGACGAAGATTGTATAATAGAATAATGTACTGTGAAGGAAGAGACGTGTACGTGCACAAGTAGTACGATTTGGGGGTCCGGATGAAGGCCATGGATCTGAGGTTGTGAAGGAGCGAAGGAATGAATGAATGAGTGTTGATGGGTGCATGCAGGATTCCAAGTGTGTCATTCCATGGGAGGGGGAACCGGGTCGGGAATGGGCACTCTGCTCATCTCCAAGATCCGCGAGGAGTATCCCGACCGTATCATGGTCACATTTTCCATCGTGCCATCGCCAAAGGTGTCCGATACCGTCGTAGAACCGTACAACGCAACGCTCTCAGTGCATCAGTTGGTCGAGAACGCCGACGAGTGCATGGTGCTCGACAACGAGGCGCTCTACGATATCTGCTTCCGTACTCTCAAACTCACCACCCCTACATGTACGTCCGCACATGCCTTACCTCCCATACGTCCCCATGCCTGCCTTCCTGCTTGCCTTCCTTGCCTGTCAGCGAGTCATCCTGTCCCCTCTACGCCTCCGTCAAACAACCTTCGCAATCACCGTCCGTCTCTCTCGGCGCTTCTAACACTCCGATCGTCCAATTCTCTGCATGCATCCTCGAGTCGAGTCCGTCCGGTCCAGTGATACGTGATGCAATTCAATAGATTCTGCTGGCTTGTGCATGCGAGAGAGCTCCGATCGAGCCGTCGAGCGCTCGTCGCTCATGTCGTCGTCCTCTGTCTCTGTCGGTCGAGACTCTGAGACTCTAAGACTCTGAGCCTCCGAGCCTCGATTGTCGTCGCTCGGAGGCTCGGAGGCTCAGAGATCTGAAGTCGTCGTCCGTGTCGGTGCTCGGGGGACGGGACGCCCACAGATCAGACCAGACGAGAAGAGAAGAGAAGAGAAGAGAAGAGCTCCCGAGTCATCGGTCAATCAATCGGTCGATCTGTCAGCCATGAATTAAAGAATTGATGGAATGGAATGAGTGGAAATGAATGGTTGAATGAATCGGATCGATGCTCACTGGCGGGGGACGGGGATGATGGACGAAGGGCAGTCGGAGACCTGAACCATCTGATATCGGCGACGATGTCGGGAGTGACGTGCTGCCTGCGGTTCCCGGGGCAGCTGAACTCGGACTTGCGCAAGCTGGCGGTGAACCTGATCCCGTTCCCGCGGCTGCACTTCTTCATGGTGGGCTTCGCGCCGCTCACGTCGCGCGGCTCGCAGCAGTACCGCGCGCTGACGGTGCCCGAGCTGACGCAGCAGATGTGGGACGCCAAGAACATGATGTGCGCGGCCGACCCGCGCCACGGCCGCTACCTGACGGCGTCGGCCATGTTCCGCGGCCGCATGTCCACCAAGGAGGTGGACGAGCAGATGCTCAACGTGCAGAACAAGAACTCGTCCTACTTCGTCGAGTGGATCCCCAACAACGTCAAGTCCAGCGTCTGCGATATCCCCCCCAAGGGCCTCAAGATGTCGTCCACCTTCATCGGCAACTCCACCGCCATCCAGGAGATGTTCAAGCGCGTGAGCGAGCAATTCACGGCCATGTTCCGGCGGAAGGCCTTCTTGCATTGGTACACGGGCGAGGGCATGGACGAGATGGAGTTCACCGAGGCCGAGAGCAACATGAACGATCTTGTGTCCGAGTACCAGCAGTACCAGGACGCCTCGGCCGACGAGGAGGGAGAGTTTGAGGAGGAGGAGGAGGCGGCGGCTTGAGCTCCGCCCTCCCCCTAAGTTTAGACTTAAGAAGAAGCATCGACCGATCGATCGACGTCCCTTCGATTGGCTCGAGCAACGGTGGGGTCGGACTTTATATATAATACAATTTGGTGGTGTGGTACACGCGAATTCATTCTGCAGGAACGAAGCGCACTCGGGCGGACACGAGTGCTGTTTCTTATGAGATTAAATCTCTCGTGTGATTGAGGGAGGGAGGAGGAAGGAGCGAGCGGGTGCCTGCTGAGCGCTCGGGTGCACCCGGCATGCGCTGGCATGCACGATCTATGGCTGGCTAGCTAGCTCTAGTTCGCAAGGTAGTCGTCAGTCGGTTGGCATCATCGGAATTTTCGAAAGTGGAGCAGCAGGAGGAGGAGGAGGAGGAGGATTACCAAACACGGAGCCGCAGTTGTACACATTGAATGCATTGAATCGTAAAGAATAATATGGATTTGACTGAAGACGGATATGGATGTGTGGCGATTTGGTAGCTAGATAGATGAGAGGACGGAGGGAGGGAGGCAGCAGGCAATGCAATGCAAGGCAAGCCACGGGAGGCGAAGAAGCATACTTTTATTATGTAGGTAGATCAGATCAGATAAGACATTCATCATGTGTAGGCAAATTTATGTACTCTTAGCACGTAACCTTCAAGAACACTAGACCAAGTTTATTTTCAAATTTCCTTTCCTCCTCTCCCTCCCTCCCTCCCTCCCTTCCTCGATCCTCGTTCCTCGATCAATTTCTGTCCAGTCCAATCCAATCCAATCCTCACCAGACTAGAACACAGACCATACCAGACCAGACGGGGCCGGAGAGATTCGAGGCGACAATAAACTGATCACAGAACCTATAGCCCTCTAGCCTTACAAACTTGAAATGCCATCATGTACGACGCGTTCTAGAGATCTGGAGCTGGAGCCTCATCATTTAGTTCACTCTCTATACAGAAGCCTAGTTTCCCTACCCCAGAGGCCCAGTCTGATACTTAGGGTGAGTCATCCTCTTTCCCTTTCGATCCGATCCGATCCGAGACGAGCGAGCACTTGCGTACCACCGGTTGAAAGAATTTTCATCATCCTTGAGATGACGACGGTAGCTAGCTAGCTAGGCTCAGCCCTCCTTTTGATCTCCAGCCCGATGTGTCGTTCTCTTGTGTCAGTGATCTCTCTCTCTCGCTTTAATGTCCTTAGTTTAAATTTTGCGGAACACAGCAGCCACTTTCTCTTTGCCCCTCACGCCTTCGAATGTCCGTCCCATTCAGTCAGATTGGTTCAGCTAGGTTTAGGAGGAACCAACCAACCATATGTGAATATTTTGCCATTTTATAAAGTGATTATATTAAATTCCGTTTCTGACTGCAACTGATCTTGAGGCAGGTAATATGAACCGACACGCTTGCTTGCCCTCGATTTCTCTCTTCTTTAGCATCTGGATTCACTCTCAAACGTAACCGACCAATAAGTTAGCGATTCGCGAGATTGAAGGGTCCTTGATGTTCCCACTTTCAGCCGGCCTCTACGTACATGCATATACACATGTATGGCTGTGGTCATGACAGAGGCTGCTGTGGGTAATGTGTTCGAGACTGGTATGTCATGTTTCGGTGCCTAGCTGAAGCTTTTGTGCGATATAAGCTTCGGATATAATCGACTGTCGTGTTCCACGCCGATTCAGATGTGTAAAGCACCAGCATATCGAGAGCAATTGTCAGATTGAGGGTTGTCGCGATAGTCGGATGTACGTACATAACTGTCAGAGTCTTTGCTGGCAAGCGAGTACGGTAGTACTTCAAGTGAAGCCACGACTTGTACCAAGTCAAAGCTCAAGTCAGCTTCGAGCATTGACGACAATCTTCGTTCTTGCTGATTGTGCACTGATACCTTCACGATCTGGAAGGAAGACGGCAATGCAGCACTTGTCAAACGTCCGTTGAATCAGATTCTGTTATGTGATACTCGTCGAGAATAAAATGGCGTTGAAACATGTGAACACATATCATTGTACAAAATTCACCTCAGCACAGAAGTCTTTCATATACATTACTGGACCACAATCAGGTGGAAAGCAGATTTGCATTTCATGAGATGAACGCGGATGACACGCGAAATCCTGTCTCGTTGATGAAGGTTTCAGGCTGGCCGACCAGCAGATCACGATCATGCACGTACGATCCACATAGGAGATGGTTGAATGCAAAGATGGTCAGCTTTCAACCACTTCAACCGGATTTCAACCATAGCATACGGGAATTGGAACGGATTTGGTTACAACTCGGCTTCTTTTCACCGTGAATAGTCAGCGGTTTCTCGGTCAAAACCCTGAGAGTAACTTTAAACTGAAGCGTCGACAACAATCGTACAAAGGCAGTTGTGAACTGTCTTCAGAATCTTAGTTAGTTGTAGTTCGGGGCTTAAACACCAACTGAAATGTCAATCGGCAGTATTCTGAATGGACCTGCAACGTAGGCTCTGCAAGGCCTAGGTTGTTCCAGCAGATCATGTAGGAACTGCCCTTTGGGATAACCTCCAAATCAGGAAGCAGGAAGCAGACATTAATTCGAGGAGTGGCGTATCCACAACATCACAATTCAAAAATCCTTCTGCTACCGAAGACCGTTTCAGTCTCCGCAGAGAGACACTTCGTAACATACTTCAGTTCCAGAGCTCCACTCTTATCCTGCCGGCGCATGGCTAAAGATGTGGCAGAGATGCGACGCATTGAATGTTTCTGATCGCGTCCAAAGATTCCTTATCGATAGGAGTGTTGACTTTTGTGGGGCAATTATGAGATACCTGATTAGTTTACTAAAGTCCACTCTCCTCATGATCAGCCAGTTGCGCGTACGCTTGGCTGTACTGGCCAGTGGTACTAGAACTGGTTCGTAGAGTACATGAGTCTCAGAGCGTTTTCAAGTTGACTTCGGCGTGCAAGGTCGAAAGTGGTGTCCAACTGAGAGTAGTATTAATAGCTTCGAGCTCTATGGTTTCAGACCATCTCGAGATGGCCTGAGCAATGTAGTAACCGTCAGATTGGTACGAGAATATCCAACTATCATCCATCTCTGAGCCCAGACTACCTTACTCTTCTATGGCTTCTGTACTTCAATTCGTTCTCAAACGCGAGCTGGGAATGGTGTCACACTTTTAACCGTGGGCAAACTCGACAGCCTTGAGATTGTCTGAAGCTGGTATAGGTTTGATACAATCAGCCGTGGATTTCTTGTGACGATTTGATGATTCTGGAGACAGCAATACAGTGGAGACAGACTCTGAGGCAATTGGTCTCCTATTTGAACTGTAACCACCTCTGTATCTCATCCTTTTCTTCTAGACAGAAAATGGACAGAAATTAATTGCACGAGGTGAGTACAGTTGATGCTTAATTTGTTCAACATGCAATTGTCCTGTCCAGAATCATCAGATTGCTATAAGACATACATGGCCTTAGGTGGTGGTGGTCAATCACCTCAAGAGGTTTCCAAATCAGACTCGCGAAGAATCTTCTGGAACTTGGTCATGTCATTTATTCTGCTCACAGAAATTGACATCATTGTAATGCCGTATATTGCTAAATCGCTTTGCTGAACTTGCAGATCGTGATCTGCAAGTTTTGCAATTAGCACAAGATTTTGTACCTTCGGGTTCATGAGGTCTAACCTTGCGTTAAAACTAATTATGTGGGCCTCCCAAGACGTAGATCGATGCATGTAAGCCCTGCTCAATAGATAATTGAGCAGGGCGAACGATGATGAAGCTGCGCACCGGCATTTTTCTACGTAAGGGAGAAGCTTCCCCTGATGTTTAGAAAAGACAGGACAATAGAGGGACGAAGACAGAGAGAGTATAACCTTCTTTATACGTATGCACATAGTATAGAAATTGGACACGTGACAATTTCCTCACACAACTTCTCTGGTCAGGTATGGACTAAATGTGGGCATCATGAGTCCTGGATGGAGACCTTGCGAGTTGCGAGAGAGATCGCTAGATGCTTTTTTCAATTTTGAAGGTGCCCATTGTCAAGTCCACACCAGCTTCCGGAGCAATAATGGTATGTTGATTCTTTCTGATTTCTTCAAGTTTGGATGCTTAATCCAGCCAACGAGCCAACCTTGCTGTAAGCAAAGGAAGAATTAAGACCTCCCAAGCGCGAACAACAGGCACCCGATATACGGTAGGTTCTCTGTCAGGAGCTTTCCCGTTAGTTAGTTAAAGTGAGGAAAAGTCAATCCTAAGGGTTCATGCATCTATCCATTCAAATTCGGTACTAGAGAAGATGGTCACACAGCCTCTCTAGTCACGATACATTGAGTTGTAGCTCAAGCTCAGTCTTAGAAGAACCCCGGAGAACAACAGCTCGAGGATTCTCGTTAGGTCAATTGTGATTCAAACCCTCTTTGGAACTGAGGTGCGGGGCCGGAGGAGAATTATATGACATGCAAGTGTCATTCTCGATCGCGATCGAGAGGATTGACCAGTTTCTCATCCTGTCAACTACATATCTGTCTGTTAGTTTGTTGAAAACGTTCGTGTGCAGATCGCTCAGCATCGCTGCACTCGGAGTTGGTGTGAACGAAGTGGAAGAGACCCATCAAATCTACACGTCGCAGCAGTTTTGTAAATTCCTTCTAATGGCCTATTGTGATCATTTTAGTACTCCATGCCAGTCAGTCAAGGGAAAGAGGATCCACGCACACTGATCAAAAGAAATGTCTAGAAATATATAGCCAGGGCGTTTGACAACCACACGTTCCGACAAAATCGGAGCATGTGGTTGTCAAACGCAAGTAGTGGAGTGCAAGAACAGTCTTCAACGATAAGGCTTTCTTCAAGCCACAGCACGTTAGCCTCATTTCCCACTGTGCTTCACCTCGCCGTGGGTACTCACATTCGTGGAGGCTTTTCGAATATTTCCCCTTTGCCTGATCACGTTCGGCGCTGTAGAAGATTTCGATTGCTTCAGGCGAAGCAAACGAATCTGTATAGTAAGTTGCCCACGGGTAAATTTGAGACCTCAAAGTCACCTGTGCAGTTCTCTTAAACTTGCAGTTACTCGATCACACAGATGTGCTTTGAAGCATTCTAGAAGGTCCTAATCGATTTCCTCATGACCACGATAAGCACATGTTGTGAGCATCACCAATTTGGCCGGCAGGCCCGTTGAGCTAAGAGTAGAGTGGTAATGAAACTCCTACCGTAGTGGTTTTACTCCATTCCTTGCTTCACCACTCGCCGCTGTTTTCTTCAGATTTCGATTAGATATCCTGCATCTACCAGTACTTGTCATGACATTGCTGGAATCTACCTCGAGTATCTAATTCAGAGTCTCTGTGCCACCTTTGCTATCTATGGGGATCCAAGTATGAGGACGGAGCAATATTTTAGGCTCTGACCACAACATGCAATCATTACGTGATTTGTTGATTTTCTTTCTAAAATATTTATTTCGTAGGCATATTTCTGGAATCGAGCTTTTGCTACTACAATGCTCTTCATTTCCTTGCGTAGACTGCACGGGGGAGTCAATCAGCCGAGTGCGTCATTCTTGGACTTCCTTCTTCTCTAGACTCGAACACTGAACCGATGGCTTGGTTCCAGAGGTTTTATTATTCTGTAAATGTTATTCGACGCAAAATGTAATACCGACAGCTGTAGGATCGCGTGCTGTGCGGCTCCTTGAGATGGAAGGATACACCGGAAGTGGCCACATATAACCTTCGTCAGCACGACATCTCAAGGTACATGACCGTGATAGAAAATTCTGGAATAGTGAGAATCATTTACAAATCTAGAACGATGTTTCGGATCTGGGTATAATATATTCCACAAAGTCTGTTAAGAATAGGAGTAATCATCAAAGAAAGATCACAGCGAACACCACATTATCTTCACTATAGTACCCGGGACCGTATAGGTTGCGGGAATAATTGGCCTGCAGATTCCTGAAAGAATGTTGAATGCATTCCCAAGGGGGTTACCGAGTCAACGCAAAACTGAATAAACAATAAAACAGCTGCTTATATGAAATGTTCGCTTATGTAAACTGAATCCTCAATATATTCCTCTTTTTCATCCGTCGATGAGAACGACTGTTTAGAAGAAAGTAAAGGACCACAAACAAATAAACGTTTAAGACAATGTGGCACTCAGACCAAAACCAAAGTCTGATTCTGCTGAAAAGTTTTGCACTATACGGTCTATCCAGACCAAATAAACCTCCATTTTAGCTGGATGGAGTTATTTCGCTAGATCACTTGACTAAAAAAGAGATGGTGCCTGACCTAGTTGAAACTATTGTGAGTAAGAATGACAACAACTGGACTCGGGAAAATTGTCAGCATCACATGAAACAGGAGGTGTAAGAGAGTGGCAATTCGTGTATGTGCACGTCCAAAGAAAACAAATCGTGAGAAAGAGGAGCGGAAGATGCGGAATCTCAGAAGCACAGGTGGATCTCCCAAGAGATGATCGACCTTCCGCCAGATTAGTGCTCACAATATAACCTAGTAAACCGGATCCACTTGTGTCACAGATGACGAGGAGACGATACTCCCGGAGAAGATGCTACCTGAAATCACTGACAGTCAAAGCTGAGCTCAACGAAAATTTGGGTTCACTCGATACTTCACATTTGATACCCAAATCTAAGTCGGACATAAGACCTCGAATCAATCCAACCCGCCGTATCTGAAGGGATGCGAACATAGATACGCTAATCTTATTCTTCACGTAAACCGCATGTCATGGTAAACAAGATGCCATGAAACTGCAAGCGTGCGTGCTTGCTTGCTGCGGAGATTGAAACTCACCTCGGCTTGTCGTTGAAGTGGTCAGTCACATGAGGCTTTTGAATCTACATTTTTCTACTATAATATAAGGAGTTGATTGCTATAGATTGATAGGGGCAGGGCAGAACTGGGGGAGGGCGATACATGATCTCTCATGCCATACTCGCTTGCTCAACCGGTTGACTTGTTCTGAACATGTATAAATGTGGGAGAAGATGATGAGAAAGCATCTTGCAAATATAAAGGAAGCCACTGAACCTGATTGTACTCAAACTTGTCCTACAACAATCCCATACTTAGTCTAGTCCTCCTCTGGGAGAAACTTCGAGTTCCTACAAACTTGAGAATTGCTGAGTTGTGTGCAAGCTCGTTCCATCTAGTCAAACTCAGGAGTTCTTGAGCAGCAATCTGCGAGCTAGGACTCGGGTTTGGCTTAGAGTGGACTTGGTCTTATATCTAGGTTGACGTTCTCGCTTACAGTACTTGGCGATGGGTACCGGGAAATGTCTAGCGCTTCTTGTACTTTGCGTTTTGGGAGCACTGGTGCAAAGCTCCTCGGCCGCTCTTTACAAGGTTGGAGATTCCGCAGGATGGAGCATCCCATCTAGTGCAACATTTTACGATGAGTGGGCCAAAAAGCAAACGTTCCAGGTCGGCGATATCCTCGGTAAGGTTCCAGACGCTTTGTCTTCAGTTTCTTCCACCTGCAGATGGAATAGAGTCCCACTGCGCATGCAATGCTCTTGATTCCGAATCATAAGATAGAAGATTGTCATATTCAAGCTGTGCCTGCAATTTGCACATTGGGTTACTAATAACTGTGCGGGTAGCTATAGATAGACTGCTTTGCTACGGCCAAAATTCCATCTTTCAGAACAATATCCCTTGCAACAGCACCTGGAAGTTAATACCAGCGCATTATGTCCAACTTCTGTACATTTCTTGAGATGTCGACAGTCAGAATTGTTATAGTTTGGATCTTCTATTCGTCGGAATGCCTGAGAATTCACATTACCTCCGCTTCAACCCCTAAAAATCATCACAGCTCTTCAAGCTTCGTGGTGCAATCCGCCCACTGACCAAAGGAAAATGTATATTAATCTCTCGATGGCCTGATGAAAGTTGCCAGAGTAAGCTTCGTCAATAGCTGGATGCATCGGTCGTATGCCCTTACGGAGGAGATATCAATCACCGCTGCTGATAACAGGACGAGACCTCAAACTGACCAGCGTAGCCAAACAGTCCTAGTTCAAGTCGATTTAGGCTCGTCTGCCTAAGCAGCCTTGCATTCTTCGAGACAATGTCTCGGATCATGCGGTTTTACGCTTGTGCGGATTGTGGGAATCATAGATTCAGAATATAGCGCTCTTGGCCCCTGGCCGCTTATTTCTGAGCTGCAGAAAAGAGCATGTCTGAAGACAGAAGTCGAGATTGTGGGTATCATGGATTCAGAATGTAGCGCTCGTGGCCACTGGCCGCAGGTTCCTGAGCTGCAGAAAAGAGCGTGCCTAGAAACAGAAATCGAGTGTGCGCCTTCACGGATCCGAACTCCAGACTTCACAGACTGACGCAGGGAGTGTGTGCATGCAGAATTCGACTATTCGATGGGCAATCACGACGTGCTGTCGGTGACTGCGGCGGACGCCAAATCCTGCAACTCGGCGACTCCACTCTTCTCGTGGTCGGTGGCCAACGCCAGAGTCACATTGCTCACTCCCGGAACTCAGAGCTTCATCTGCGGCATCTCCGGCCACTGCACGTTGGGCATGGCCATGACCGTGCAGGTTCTGCCGGCTGCTCCCGCCCCTGCGCCACCCGCTCCTCAAATCCCCCCTCCCCCTCCCGCTCCCCGCACCACCCCCACGACCCCCTCGACCCCTTCCACTCCTCCTACCCCTACCACTCCTTCCACCCCCTCCACGCCCGCTCCCAGCAAGGCACCCGCGCCCCCCACGCGCCGGTCGCCCGTGCCACCCACGGCCCCGGCCCCAGTGGCAGTTCCCGTTGCGGCACCCGACGCTCCGGCCCCCGCTCCTCGCAAGGCCAGGAAGGGCAAGAAGCCTCTTGGCGCCCCGAGCCCCGCTCCCATCGAGTTCTCGTTCCCCAGCTCCTCACTCGCAGTCGCTCCAGCTCCAGTTGCCGAGAAGGCCGCCGCCTCCGGTCTCAGATCTGCCGCTTTCATGGTCGCCGCTGCTCTGGCAGTTTCCTGCGCTTCCCTTCTATTCTGATGCGATGGCGGCAGGAGATAAATGTGGAGCGATGCTGGTTTGATCCGTGAATGGCAATCGAGGCTGCATAATCGTCTGAATCCGATAATCTACGAGCGCAGTGTTCTTCTGGCGTGAGTGAGCGATCGATCGATCGATCGATCGATTGATTGTTAAATTATGCAACCTTAGCTCGAGACTCTAGACAGTCCACAATTAATTTCACGGTGGAGTTTTGACCACTTCAGCTGGTGCAGAGGCGGACCGACGACGAACGAAGGGAGCCCGGCCAGATAACAGAACCTGTTAACTTCAATTATAGCATAATGCGTTCGATCATTCTTTTGGGTGTTTGGTGACGAGATGGCTTTCGGAGACTCATAATCATTCGGCGGGTGAGTACTTCCACCCGATTAGGGACAAGGAGGGTCATCTCCAGAACACGAATTTTAGAATAAGTTTTGCCACTTGAGAAACCATCCGGTAGAATAGAGTGGAACGGCAAATTTATGACCATTAGCATATCAGGGTTCGAAGCTCATCCGCGAGCAATTGTAACCATTTTCATCACACTAAACACGAACCTCTTTTCTATGAGAATTAACCGCAATGACTCGATGGTGGACTGCATGTGTATTATGGTGGACTGCTCATTATGCCTGCTGTGGCGGTGGACAGCATGAGAACGTGTGTAACAACTGGCTACTGGCAGAGCGCAGATTCTGATGTGAGCTTTCTCTTACGTATTCCATTCTAGAGAAGATTGGACTCACTGTTCAGCTTAGAAAATTCCTCATCTTACTCCCGAATGGGCGGCAAGTAGGAAGAATCAACAGATGCTTTAAGGAATGTCAACTCTGAGCAATAACACTCATTACACAGTCAAATCGGCGCGAATGTATGATACATGTGGTCACTGTGATGCACGGCGAAATTGACGTAGTCAGCGTCATTTTCGCCGTTTTTTCCAACCGTCGGGAATTAGCCGTCCTCAAACAATTTCCTTCAATGGCGGTTTCACTTCAGAAGTTCGCGTGGACCTCATACATTAGTTTCAAAACCAGGGACGAAAACAGACCTTCAGACCGATCAAGACGATCAGTGTTGAGCCAGAGATTTGCATCATTTTCTTCAAATTTCCGGCGACTTTCGTATTTTGCTTCAGCGAGTATAGTACGTAGCAGATCTGATAGTGGATATCGTTACGAAGCCCCAGCTGCTCCTGGGCTCTGCAGAAGACGGGCTTCCAAATTAGTATACTGTTCCAACGCCATGCAAGAAAGGATGGACTTTATGCTGCTACGGGAGAGTTCGAAACCGTCAAGGTTTAGTGCCCAGAGTCTGAAGATGTGAGTCATATTATTAAATCTTGTGAACACGAGTTTGTTTCTTTGAGGCCGACAACACCAATACCCTTGAACTTGGTTATGTTGATCAGTATCCATGTCTGAGACATCGTCTGTTTCACACTCATAATACACGACCTCGGCGGGTGCATATAGGATCCACATCTCTCCCGCCCAGTATCATTACGGTGGCACGTGGACGGGGACAACCAAGCTACCAAATGGTCGTAATGCACTGTCACACACTTCGGTGCTTCGGTAGTTGCCGTGGAAATGCTCGCGTAGCGAAACATGCGAGCTCACAGCAACTCTCCGACTATTAGCTGGTACCAGGGGGTTGCCAGCATTGACTTTCCTTCTTGAATTACTTCTGTAAGATAGGTCTTACATACGATGATCGATATGGGTGAATTGTTCATGCCTGGGGCAGCATGTGATCGAGCTCAACAGAGGTAAGAAACGACTACATCTAACAACACGTCTGTAGTGACCGCCACCGTTCTGCCCCAGTGGCTGTCCTCTAGATCGCTTCCTAATCTCGAGTCAAAATATGCCCAACGTCAAATGATGCTGAAAGGCTCAAATCCAGAGATCTCCGCTTCTCCTGTAAGTTTCAGTATTTGAAGCACGTCTGAGGCCCCTTGTCAAGAACGTTTTTTGAAGATTCACGCAGAGCTGGTCTCGTGTAGAAGATGCGGTTGAATAATTAATTTGGGAATGCGCATAACATAAGTCCATCATGTTCAGAATCTGAATCCATAGTCCTTCCGGATATTGATTAATGGACATGATCCACATATTCCTGCAGTCTACTCTAATCAATTCATTTTACCTCATTCACTGTCTATCAGACCACCCAACAGAAACTGAGAGCTATCGACTGCGAAAAGGTTGCGAATGTAGAGGAAATCTCTGTTAGGTCCACACGGATTCCAAACTAGTCTAGCGAAAATATAGCGCTCGGCGAGTACATCATGGCAGCGTAGTAATGTTTCGAATATAGTCCATAATTATTAAGCGCAAATATGTTGCGGTAGGCTAATCTTCTGGTAGGGGGTGAAAAGAAGGTGCATATTACAAAGGATAGATATTCGGACTCCACGTATTGGAGCTTCCAGGTCAATGAGACAAGACAGCGAAGATAGATAGATTCACTTACAGTCCTCACTTTTGAGCCGTACAGGACATATGGAGAAGATTCATGTGCCGGTTGTACCTTGAGCGAGAGAGTGCTCAGAAAATGCTACTGTAGTGTTGTGTGATCCGAAGGTACAAGTGAGGAGTGCCATGAGTACGGACGCTCCCGTGTATAAGGGCCGTGACCAACTGGGAAGGCAGATCAGGACTTGAATCACACGTTGCATGTAAAACAGAGGAAGTTGATACTGATCGTGACTTGATCCAGTCACTTGCAAGTATCCATGGAGCGTGGACACAGAGAGAGTGCCACGGTGCTGGAAGTTCAGTAAAAATTAACGTAAGTTTTGATAAGTTTTGATTCAGGCTTGCGTCTGGTGATGTAAGTCTCTTATAATCAATCTGATTCTGAGAGGAATACTCGATGCGGACGTACTCAGCCAGCCGAATTTGGTCTGTCATGCCCTTCATATATCAAGAGATACAGTGCAATGGAATATACCTGGTCCGCTTCAATGGGTTTGAACTTGCAAATTGAGCATGTTCTCGAAATGTGTGATCAGGTGTCAACCCTCAACCAGTGCAGCGCGCAATGTCATATGCTAAAGGCAAAGAGCCATTTGCTAAAATGCGGCCCAAGAAGAGATGAAGAAAGAAGTGGTCCAGCCGAGCTCCCAAGCTATATGGAACCGAAGAGGGAATCTGTTGAAGGATGACTGTGCACTTTCTTTCTTGCTGCAGGCATCCATACGAAGCAGCCTGCCGGACTTGAATTGCTCGTCGGCTTCGCGGTGACGGGCGTGGTGTGCGCCGCAATCGCAGCCACGTATGATAATCTCGTGCTTCTGCAGTCTTTGCTTTCAGATCCTTTGTCGTGCTCGTCCTTTCGAGCCACCAGCGCCCACGGCTGCGCAGCAGCGTTTCATGCAAGCAGTGGCGGAAATTGAGAACAGTACCAGGAGGACTTCCTGCTTCATTCTTCTTCTGAATCTGATTCTGCTTCTGGCTCTGGGGATTCAGCTCATGGACCTCAAACACCACCTTCGCGAATGTCGGCTTCTGTTGCTTCGAAAGGAAAGATCGCTCCTGAAGCTCTTTCCCTCGCCGCAGGCCACTCGAATCGACTCTCTCGCTGACTAGATTGGGAAATTGGAACTGCAGCTGTAGGCAGTAGTCACTCACTCAGTCACGGAGACGGGATGGGATGCGGTGTGTGAAAGAGACTCGGTACGTCACTAGCTGAGCTATGACCCGTGAGATGCGACGCAGTACGTAGATCCTTTCTGGAATCTTTGTTCGTGCAGCAGCAGCCGCTGCGTCTATTCGTGGAACAGCCCAGCGAGGAACGGGAGCCAGCAAAGTGCAAGCCACTGTTGAGCTCAAGTGACCTTGTGGATTGTGCTCGAGCACCTGAGGGAGTAGTGTGAGTGGCTGGCGGGCTGCCTGGATCGGTTGTTTGCGTAGAATTGAAACCGATCCTGCAGAAAGTGCCTTGCCATAAAACTGGTCCCGTTCTTCTCTGAACTCAAACATCTCTCTGCCGCTCTGCAAGCAACCATTCTCTCCGGAGCCGCTGCGGTTGTGGACACAGAAGGCAGGGCGAGCTAGGAGTGTATAACAAGGCAGGAGCCTGAGCATTGGCCTTTGTACATTGGTCTTCACTTCATTGTCGACGATGGGGACTAATTATTAGTTTCTAGGATTGTCTACACGCTGTGGTAGTTTACAGTTTGACAAACCTTGAGCAGGCGATCGACCAAGTGGCTCAGAATGTCGGTCTCCAAAGGAAATTCGATGATTGTTGCTCTGGTGGTTCTCGCTGCACTGGTTCTTAATGCAGAAGGAACCACATACACCGTTGGCGATGGTTTGGGTTGGACGTTTCCACCGTTGATGGACACTTACGATACCTGGGCTAAGCAGCACACGTTCGTCGTTGGTGACGAGCTTGGTAAGTTTTTTGATACTCATTCATTCATTATGAAGTTTCTGGAGTCTGTAGCTAGAAGAACCGTCTGCAATTCAATGAATTGGCGGAGCAGGGTGAATGATCACGATAGACTCGAGCTTCCTGTGTCAGTCTGTGAGGTGGACGCAATGTCTTGAGAGTGCCAGACTGATCCCTGTTTTCCTGGTTCCTGCATATACAGCAGGGGCTAGTCAGGCCAAGCTTCTTAGTATTCATGCACTTTGCAATGCCCTTGTTTAGCAACTGGTCTTTGCAGCTTCACATTCGTAAATAGTGTCTTAAGATTTGATGGTGAATGAGGATTCTGACGGATGTTATGATATATCTCGGGTTGGCGAATAAATTGCATGATTCTATTGCAGTTTTCAACTATGACGGCCTTCTCCACAATGTCTTCGAGGTCTCTCAAGCCGACCTGGACCTGTGTGACTACAGCAAGCCTATCGCCAAGTACGAAATGTCGAACGCGAAGGTTACTCTGACTAGAGCGGGGTATCATGGCTTCATTTGTGGAGTCATCGGACACTGCCTGGGAAGCATGAAAATGAATTTGGTGGTCGCGGATTCTGCTACTCCTGTACCAGTCGCTCCGGCTCCAGTGGTGGCACCTTCTCCTCCTCCTCCAGTTGCCTCTCCTCCCCCTCCCCCTCCATCTCCACCTCCTCCTGCTGCTTCTCCTCCTCCCCCTCCATCACCACCACCCCCAACCTCGACTCCACCTCCATCAGAATCTCCTCCTTCCCCGTCTTGGACTGCTCCCTCTCCATCTCCTCCTCCTTCTCCCCCGTCTTGGACTGCTCCATCTCCATCTCCTCCTCCCCCATCTTGGACTGCACCATCGCCATCTCCTCCTCCCCCGAGCTGGACTCCGACTCCTTCTCCTCCTCCTCCCAGTTGGACTCCTACTCCATCTCCTCCTCCCCCGAGCTGGACCCCAACTCCGTCTCCTCCTCCTCCGAGCTGGAGTACTTCTCCATCTCCTTCTCCTCCCAGTTGGACTCCAACTCCATCTCCTCCTCCCCCGAGCTGGAGGGCTTCTCCATCTCCTTCTCCTCCCAGTTGGACTCCTACTCCATCTCCTCCTCCTCCGAGCTGGAGTGCTTCTCCATCTCCTTCTCCTCCCAGTTGGACTCCCACTCCTTCTCCTCCTCCCCCGAGCTGGAGTGCTTCTCCATCTCCTTCTCCTCCCAGCTGGAAACCAACTCCGTCTCCTCCTCCGCCATCGTGGAGTGCCCAATCTCCTTCTCCTCCTTCCCCGAGTTGGACTCCTACTCCATCGACTCCTCCCCCCAGTTGGAATCCGACCCCATCTCCTCCTCCCAGCTGGTCGATTGTGGATGAACCGACCGCAAGCCCATCGAAAGCTCCATCGTCTCCTCCTCCTCCTGCCAAGGCAAGGACACCATCGGCCACTCCAGCTCCTGCCCCGAAGAGCAGCCCTCCCAAGTCCTGGTTGGCTCCGACCAAGACTCCCTCGCTCGCTCCGTATCAGGCCTTCACACCAATCGGTGCAGCTCCTGTACAATCTGTAGTGGCTCCCTCGGAAGTTGTTCTTCCACCAGCCACGGCACCGACGGCACCGACGGTGGTTAGCTCTTCCTGGAGCCTGCAATCTGCGACGGCAATGGGGATCAGTCTTCTCGTCGCCGGTTGTGCTGCTCTGTTTCTCTGAACAATTTCTCTGAACCTGAGCTAGTGATTCAGAATCTAGCTTTATTCGGACGACTGTGAGTTCCGTTGACAAATCTCTTCTCGAGCTCTATGGAATCTCAGATCTCGAAGTCGGCTCTTCCAGATATCTACAGAAAACATCACTGCAAGCTTTGACCGTCCGTTCAAAGGTTTCAGGACTGATCGCGGTCTTGATTCAGTCGGCTTCACTGTAAATGTGGCTACCTGTAGTTAGACTTATCCGAATTTATCATGTCGAATTCGACACTTACAACTTACATGATTAGAGTAGAGGTTGTTTCAGCGGGCTATAAATCGCAACACTTTTACAGCAATTATTATCAGATTAATTTGTGCAGCTGCATTAGGCTTACACGTTCACAGGGTGGGCATCCCCATCCACTGAATGTGAATAGATGCGTCTGCATAGATTGAAGTCCTAATTTCACACTGATCGACAAATGGCCCAATTGCAATCCTAGTTCAGATCTTCACTCCCGAGCTGATTGCTAACCTTGGGACTAGTCACGTTCAACATTCTATTATACCGGCTTCTTGTTCTGCAGGATGTGGCCTTATGGCTCACACGGTTCAGCTAGGAGTAGTTCTTTTGATCGAAACTAGTTTCACATGTGTTTGAACCAATTTCAAAGAACTCCGCAATAAATTTGAAAGAGATCAGCAGGATGCCTCGGCATCTCCAATTTATTCTTTCTCCAGAAGTTATTCCAGACTCTGATTTGACTTTGCTTCGCCAGCCGGTACGCTGGATGGATCCCACATCTGCTCTTGCATCATCAGTTTACTTATCAATTAAGGCATTGCCTTCGAAGTGATTCCCTTCAGGATATACAAGCATTCTTCTCTTTTGTATTATAATCGCGTCAATCTCCTTTCATGCATCCATCGGTGTGATTGCTCTTTATATGACAGATATCTGGAGTCAGTCAGTGGGTTCCCTTCGTTGAACGGATCTGCAGGGCAGATCTAGAGGCTACCCGTTGACATTCTTCACACGAAGAGAGTTTCAGACTATTCTCTGGATATGAAGAATCCTTCTCGATGAAGCACTAACCACGGTGAGATTCTGAATGGTCATGACGCCCCTCCGATACATCCATTCGACGGCGTGAGGATGGATCAGGCCTCAGGATGGGGCGTAGATTCCAACCAGGAATGATCACGATTGTAGTCATGACCTGAGTGGGAACAGATGCTTATTGCACAGGAATGATAGTTCCGTTCCGCGGTCCACCCGCAGTTCATCAGTCCCTCGTATGGAACGTCTGTCATGTATACGTGCATGAGCCCCGATGGCGGCGGCGTTCGGTGCACCTAGCTATACAGGTCGTGTGAATATTACCCATGACAGCAAGACCAGGATAACTACTGATATTGTAGTTAGTCAATATTCCGAAGTGGTTTATGCAACTGCCGCGAAATTTCAGATGGATAATCTCTCTTTCAAAATTGTAGTTGCTGTGTCAATCAAATCCTAAACTTCTTAGCTCATTAACCAACATGATGTCAAATGTAATTTAAAGCACTTACGCTAAGTACATGCTTATTTAGTCCCTGGAAACAGAATAACAAGATGAAATTGGATTGCTCTCTGTGGTGATAGTAGGGAGGTTTGATAAGATGACAATGTCTGAGTACGTTGAGATGTGAAGCTATTATGTAACTAAGAGCAGATTGTTGTGTTCGTAACACCGATTTGCATCTACAATGCCTTTGTAAACAAAGAAACGTGGTTATATACTTGATATTTGCAACATAGAAGGGTTAAAGTTCGGTGCTACTCCAGGATATACATCCATGTTTATCATTGTTTCTTTACGGTAGAGCATAATAAACATGTAGCACGTACCATTATAGTGAAACGAAAGGAAAAGTAATCCGGGGTAGACCCAAAATATCACAACAAACACCTTCTAACTTGAAGTGTTCATTTATTTTGGTTCATTATTCATATCCGAAATCTACACATGATAAATTAAGACGTATTAGATTATGCATAATTTTACTATAATCTATTTTTATTCAAAAATCCCGTTTAAACGAATAAACCAAAGAGCCAGAAAACTTCTCGGTAAGTCAAGCAGGGCGTCATAAAGATTTATTGGATTGGTAGTTCCCTCTCTGCATTAAGAAATCTTTGAATCTGCGTTTATAGTTTCATGTAGAAGGGCCCATATTGCTCAAAACGACATACAGAACAAGACTATGGGATAGTTCAGTTTTTATCCTCACTAAAATTGTAACTGCCGGCCGACACACTATCAAAATCACTCCAATTTTGCTTTGTAATCTTGGTTCAATTGCGGTGTATAGTAAAGATGAAGTGAGGGATTATGGAAACAATGAGCTTCGTAAAAAGGGTTTGAAAAGAACGAATTTTCAAAATTTTGTGTTGTCCTTGATGAGGTGGCTTTGTCAGTTTTATGGAAGAACTGGCGAGCAATAACAACGTTTAACCTCCAGCTCATAACCTTAAGTCCAAAGGACACCTTCATTGTAAAGAAGTTTGGCTCCTTTTGCGAATTTAACCACCTTGTAATCTTTTTAATCACCACATACGAAACATTTTGACCATGCAAGTCACTGTCAGAGAAGAACGTCTGGGTATCTCAAAATTGCTAGTTATACTTAATTATACGAATTATTCTACTTGACTTTTCTGTAAATCGTACATTGCACATCTTTGATCGTCACTAAGAACGACAAAATTAGCTTGAATAGGCTGCGTCTACGCATGAAAACGCACAGAACCCTCAATTAAAAAACCTTGACTTTTAGTAATCAATATATATATATAGTAATATTATACATATTTGGAATTATCGTGGTAATTTGGAAACATCTTACGTATAAATCAGAACACTTTCCGAATTATCAAGATGGATTTGCTTGTCTTTCAAAAAGTCACAAAATTCCTGAAACTAATTTGTAAATTATAATTTTTCGTACATATGATTTTTTAAAGGATCATAAAATCATAAAAATAATTTCTAATCAAATTTTCTAATCTGAAATTATTCATGCATAAAATACTTATTCCGTTTGCTGATATAATTTATAAAATTAAATCTAGAGAAAATGAAATTAAAAAATATTTACTATAGTTGAAACAATTTTCCACTATTATCTGAAGATTAAAATTAATTAACTTCTGTGAGCGTGATTTCTTTATTTATATTGTATCAAATATAATTTGAAGATAAGTATAAAGACAATTTGTCGGATATCTCAACTTATTATTTCTCCTACATTATTTAGTGGTTAATATATTGATTTTTACTCTAAGACAGCTCCAATAAAAAATTCAAAACCTAATGTTATGAATAAAATTTCATACACTCGGAGGTACATGGATCATAATGCGAAGTCAACCAAAATTTTACATCTTCTCCGTTATGTAACCCGAAAACGATGGATTCGTGTCCGTCGATGTGAAGTCACAATCGAGTTAAACCCTCTTTACTCGAACTCGGTCATTAATGCAATTGTTCGAGTCCATATCTAACGGCAACCGGGAAGGTGACTGACGCACGAGGGGATGGATTGCCTTGCAGGTAAAACGAAGGAGCTCCCGACGGCCCGACGCCCTGGTCGCTCGCGGTCTGCCCGGTCGACAGTCGACAGTCGACAATCGAGAGCTGGCCGTCCCAAGGACCGGAGCTGTCAGCGCTCACACTTTTTTCAAGCACGATTTGTGTCTGTGCATACAGCGTTGACCACATGAGCGTCGAAAGCTTCGATCATTCCGCAACACAAGGATTTTACTGTCACAATCCGCCCATTCTCGTGCACCGCCGAGCCCTAGACCTTCGCTGGTAATCGATCGAACCAAATTTGGTGCATCGGGAAATTGGTCCGAAGGAGTGATTGTGCTAATCATGGGGGACAGCGAGGGGCCTATCGATGTTTCGAGGTGGGTTGTATTCTACCCAATCTATATCAACTCGAAGAAAACGCTCGCAGAGGGCCGGCGAATTAGTACCAGTGCTGGTGTGGAGAATCCAAATGTTGAGGAAATTCACGATTGCTGCAATTATCTTAAGCTCCCCTGCTTAGTCGAGGTAAACCCTATTCTACTCCTTCATTGTGTTGCTATCTGAGTGATCTCGCACCGAGCTGGATGGATTTTATTTTCTTTCCCTTTCTGTTAGCTGCATTTCTATTTGAATTCCGTTCTTGTTCGTTTTGTGCGCTGATACTCTGTCAATGCCTGATGATGGCAGCCCCACAAAGCATACTCCAGAGACTTTATGCAGAGAGGACGAGTACGTGTACAACTCAAACACGAAGACGGCACTTTGGTCAATCCTGCGATTTCCTCGAGTATATCTCCACTCTAATTTTTTATAAATACGCAAGAGCTGAACTTGTGATTATTTTCACGCTGTTTCGATCGAGATGCAATGCCTATGTCTTTCAACCTAAGCAGAATTGCATTGTCTTGGAGAATTCAATGTCTTGTGTTTTTATTCCACTCTTATCCATTGTTGCTGCAGGAAAAGCTCTGATGCTGAAGGTGGCGGAGTTGGTGCCGAAGCATCAAGGTCGCGCTAAGAAGCAACAAGAAAGTGCTTCAACCTCCGGGGCTACAGCTGGTGCAGGGAAGTCAGGAAAAAGTGGTAAAAAGAAAAAGTGAGGGCATTGACCGTTGCTTTTATCTAACATGATTCTTCATCCTGGGAGTTCAAGTCTGCTACTTGACACGGGTAACTTCAAGATATCCACAAAATTTTTGCAGCTCAGTAGTCAAGTAGTTGCTGTCCATGGTATGTATAGTCTTCACGACTACACGGATAGGGGAGACAAATGTTCTGGAATTAAGAGGCTGGTAGAGAAGAGCTGAATTGGGATTAGGGGACTTTTTTTTTTCTGGACTGGTTTAGTTGAGTCACGTTGAGCTCGCCAATTATGACCGGTCCTGTTTTAATTTTGGCTTCCCGAAAGAGATGGTTAGACTGGAATTGTTAGCTACAATCACAAGATGGAAAATCCCTTACGTGATCCGTCTCAGAGGACCTGACCATTGAAGGTTGCAAGTAGTCCTCATTGAGAAGAGTGTGTACATGGGGACATGAGTTGCTCACCAATTTTAGTCGTGCAAACACAGGCAAGTTTTAGGTCTTCTAGAAGATTCCCACCTGTATCTTCACTTCATACTGTACACAGGATGTTGATTGATTCATTGTCTGGGTTTATACCTTAGCGTACTGAACTTGGCAGCTTCTTGGGCCAAACCAGTAGCAGTTCAAAGGGAAAATACTATAAGCTCTGCATTCCGTTAGACAGAATGCTTAACTCGTAGGATTTGCCGAGAATGTTCAGGCTATATCAATGATCCAGGTGAAAATGCATGATCCGAATTAAATATACTACAACGCCAGCAGCCTTGACTCAAATGAACTAACAAGATGGAATACCCCGAATGAAACTACTTGAACTCAGCGTAGGACATGGATCGCAGTTGCAGAAAAAGTTCATCTGCAGAATTGGTTCTCTAGGAATGTTCCTATTAAGTCTTAACCCTGGCAATGGCATGAGGGCGATGGTGTGCGTCCTGGAGGCGAAGGCATATCGGGATCTCTCGAAGGGCGTCTGACCTGTGCTCCTCGGCACTTACAAGAGTTTTCAAGGAAATCGGAGCTGGTTCCCATTTCTTCCTTCCTTCCCGGTCTAGTAAGTGGAGGGCTGACAGATCGCTCACTCCGGCAGCGTACACCAGCTTGGGCAGGGCAAGAGAGCTGACGGTGGAAGGTGCAGCGCACGTCTTCATGTTCGGAATCTGGACTACCCCTGTCTGGACTTTCATACCCTGTGTTTTCCCGGCAGCGATAGCCCGCTCTGACTGGACAGGTCTCTTGTCTGTGCCAGCTGCAACGGCCAGGTGATGCAGATCTGGGGGACTCTGGAGGAGAGCTGTACTTTTCCGGGTTGTATGATTCATGTGGAGGCATCGACTTAGGGGTTTGCTGCGGAGTGAGATCATGGTGCATTTCATGAATGTCTGAATCTGTTACGTGTATGTTGTTTCGTCGGAAGTCTCGGCTAGGCCGTTGAGAGTCGATGAAAGACGAGGGCTGCCGAGACAGAGAAGGAGAAGCAGATGGTTGCTGAGAACTCTTTCTCCCATCGGTCATGGACAGATATTGGATCGAGGGCTTTCTCAGGTAGATTTTCTCCCCGTCTACGCCCACGGTGTTGCAAGTTTCACATGTGGTTTCTCTGAAACCAACTGGATCAGAATTCTCGTACATGTCCCTCCTCAACTCCTCCTGCATTTGCTCTCTGGATCGGGAAGGGGACGGGGGCAGCTGAATCTCAGAGGGAGGCAAGTTAGGAACTCGATTCCCTTCATCTTCCCACCTCGGAGGTCCATAGTCCTCCATCCACCTCTGCCGTGTCGGCTCTTGACTAGTGCCCCCCGGTGACCTCTGCCGTGTCGGCTCTTGACGAGTGCCCCCCGGTGACACGGAACGCCTGTCCATAATCCGGATCTGAAACCTGCTTGGCAAGTCATCGAACCGAATTGAATAACCTGGTTGCAATGCAACCTTGAGGGTTGAATTGTCAGGAAGGTTGAAGCTCTCGATGGTGGGAGTGTCTGGAGGTAGTCGACGGGAGTGCGAAGCTCTGTCGGGCTCCATCCATGCCTCTTCTTTTTATCAATGGAAAACTGAAGACCACGCTGGTGTTTTGCTACCCTTCGTGACAGACCGATGTGTTCGACAACCAACTGTGGATGCTTCGAACATCTTCACGCTTTAAACCTACAAACTACGTCCAATGCTCCTCCCCTTTTTCACCGTGATGAGAGATTCTTCCTACCCTTTGGCCCAACATGGCCCGAATATGCGTTTGGGAGCGAGACCTTAAAAACCTGTCCACATGGTCGTCTCGCTGACTACGGGCGAGGTCATCGGAGCAGAAATCCTCGAGCATGTAGTCAGAGGATGTTTGTCTGCCTTCATCTTCAGATCTGCACCAATGGGCGATTCATTGAAGATTTCCATCGTGCCTAAGTGATCGTGGTGCCCGTCAATTACGATGACCTAGAGAGAAGAATCCACACGTTTTATACTAGAATCGGACGTGACATGGACAGCTGACTCGTCCGAAGGTTCGATCGTGACTTAGGATGTCGAAACCGCTTTAGTTCGTTCACTCGTATTGTAGGGTCTAAAAGCCCTTGTTTTGAAACAATCGGACATGGAAGGTTTGCGCTGAACAGTCATGTGTTCGAGAGTTGTGTCTTTTCGTCAAGGGCAATGCCTAATCTCCCAAATTCCAGAAATCACAAACTACTATCGATTTCGTGACCATGAGATAGATGGATGATTATTTGGTCCAGACGATCGAACTGTCGATGCCTATGACTGACCTATTGTGGGTACTCGAAGTTATGTACTCTACATAGTTCTTTACCTGCATTATTTTTAAGGTAGGATCGAGCGAGATCTGGTCATTTGAATTGAAGAAAATTGGCTTGAGGACATCGTGCGTTGCCTTGAAGCGTGTGGATGTAAACGAAATTGTAAGTCGTAAAGCACTCAACCAGAGATTCCGAGTGCTCTTATCCACTCTGACAATTGCGTGGACTCGGAAAGTTGCATCTTGCTATGTTCACCAGAACAAACGCGCAAGTTGGGGCTTAAAATGCTGACGAGATCATGTCATCAGCGATGTCAAAAACATTGCTTCGTGCACAAATGAGTGGAAGTGAACCTACATTCGATCATCAAGATCGCCGAAAGCGATAACTTGAAAGAGGAAGCCACCGAAAGTGATCAACGAAGGATCCGCCGCATTTTGACCCCTTCCACCTCGGGAACAATCTTCCAGTAATCGCTTGTGCTGCAGTCCATCGAACCGGTTCTCTCAACCACAAGAAAAATTATATTCCTTACGGTGATGCATCTGTCGCACCACATCCGTCTCGGAACTCCACATTTGTTCGGCCTGCGCCATTCTGGAAGCTGTTAGGTCCATCGTGGACGCCCGTCCATGTGGACCTTCTCGTCTTCTAACTGGTCTCTGGCAAGAATGCGGTCAACTTCCGTCTTTGTGGGATGTGGTGCATTGTCCACGGCCACGTCAGCCGATAGTGTGGCTGTCTATTTTGTCAAGGATACTTGAAGTGTGAAAACGGCCAAATGTTCAAAACTCGGTTCGAGCGCCTTCGTGAATCTTGACCAATTCGCGTCGAAAATCTTCGAAAATCTTTTGCCTTACTTCCATAGCATCAAAGGGAAAGGCAAATATATTTTAGGTGGAATGGAAAGGTTTTTAAGTTTATTACATAAGGAATTAGCCCTCTACTTCAGTTCCACAGTTGATTGAAAATTTCAACATCATGAAAAACTAAATGTGTCAAATCCAAAAGCTACCAGGGGTTCCAAGTAGAATAATCACCGAAATCAGAAGAAAGCAGGCCATGATTAATATGCGAAGAAATGAGTTACAAACTCATCCTTGGATTGAATATAAAAGTCGAGGAGGTGAGCTAGCTAAACTTTGCTAACTAGAGGTTAACTCAAAACACATGAATCAGGTAATTGATGACAACCTTTTGAGAGGGTAGAATATATGTGCATATGATGCATGCTTGAACTGCTCCAAAGGTTTTGTGTTTTGCTCTTGCTGTTACTGGATTCTTCAAATCGCATCACCAAATTGGTTCTTTAGCATTTACAAGCCTGAGAAAGAATTTATACTCTGAACAACCACATTACATTCATCCAAAAAATGAATTCTCTATCTCAACTCACTCGATGTACTAAGGAGAACATGATTAACATGTGAAGAATTGAATTACCAAACTCACACTTGGGTTAAATATGCTAGTCAAGAAAGTGAGCTAGCTAAACTTCGCTAACTAGAGATTAATCCAAAACACAGGAATCAGACATTATGATTGATGACAACCTTTTGAACGGGTACATGACATGTGCATACGATGCATACTTGAACTAATCTGAAGGTTCAGTTTTTCTTATGCAGCTACTGGATTTTCCAAATCGTATCGTTGAATTGCTACTCTAGTATTTACAAGCTTCCAAGATGATTTATAATCTGAACAATCTCACATGCTTCATCCAGAAAATGCATTCTTTATCTCAACTCACTCGAGCTGAAAAAACATGATGAACATATGAAGAAATGAGTTTACAAACTCATCCTTGGATTAAATATTACAGTTCAGGTGATAATCTAGCTAAACTTTAATTACTAGAGTTTAACCCGAAACACATGAATCAGACATTGTAATTGATGACAACCTTTTGAGTATGTACAATACATGTGCATATGATGCATGCTTAAACTCCTCCGAAAGTTCAGTGTTTTGCTCGTGCAGTTTCCGTATTATCCAATTCGCATCACCAAATTGTTACTCTAGCATTTACAAGCATGCGAGAGAATTTATAATTTGGACAATCACACATGATTTATCCCTTAAACACATTCTCTATGTCAATTCACTTGATCTGCGTAGAAGAACATGATTAATATATGAAGAAGTGAATTTACAAACTCATCCTTGGGTTATATATACTAGTTCAAGCGTATGGCTTCGATCGGGTCGGTTTTGACCATCAACCCGAACTCAATCTGAACAACCGGGTCGGATTTGGATAGAATTGGATAAAATTTGAATCTGTTGGCGGATCCATGATTGTGAGGGGACGATAAGAGAGATTTGAGAAATTGGAGTTGCATTTTGAGTAGGCAGAACAAGCAGCATAGGCAGTGTAGCGCAATCTAGCTAGACGTAGAAGGAAGCGAGTGACTGCATCGCATCAAGCGAGGTGCGTGGCAGACGAGAGGAGGAGGAGTAGTGCCTGACACTAGAGTAGGAGCAGAGTTTTGCGAGACAGAGCGGAATTCAATGCAGACGATGACGTACTGGTTGGGCTTGCAGATGATCTCTTATCAATCGTTGCTTTATTGATTTTTGGGTTTTCGGGTTGGTTATAGTAATATATTTGAAACCAAATAAAACTCGGATTTTCGGGTTTTACCCAAATTCGATTGAAGCCCTATCCAGATGGTGAGCTAGTTAAACGTTGCTAACTAGAGGTTAACTCAAAACACATGAATCAGACATTGGAATTGATGATAAACTTTTGAGTGGGTACAGGATATGTGCATATGATGCATGCTTGAACTGCACCAAAGATTTGGTGTTTTGCCACATGTCGCTACTGATCATCCAAATCGCATCATCAAATTGCTACTCTAGCATTTACAAGACTGCGAGAGTTTTTAAGTATGGACAACCACACATGCTTCATAAAAAATGCAGTCACTTGATATGCTCCAGTTGCACTCAACTTAGCTAGCTAGAGGTTACCCGAAACACGAGTTAAACTCAACATATACCCTTGCTTTTAATATATATTCCAGATACATGTAATAAAGTCAATGAGATTATGAAATGTATTAACGTATTTTATTATCAGGTGTGTCCAACATATACAATAACGGCATAATGAACTTTTAGCCTTATCCACTAGATAAAAACATAATCTGCTTTTGTCAACCAAGAGTAACTAAAGGAGTTGGAAACCAAAATATCTCTCTCTATTATTATTTATAGTCATATGCGTATAACAAAATCTTGAGATAAAACAGTACTTTTGTTGCAAATTCTTCCATAAGTGTCTTAAGTTGTACTATTATTGATGTGGATACTTTCATCAACCATAAAAATCACAGCAATCCTGGACAATAATTGTCGATGTGAATCAAATTGATGTTAACGAAGCGACAATAAACTCAACTCCAGATCATCATGCAGATGACGAGAATGTCAAACTTGTCACTTTCATTCCAGTCCTTGAACGTCTAGATTCTGGAAGGAGGTGTCTTCGACTGATTGATAACAACAGATATGAACAGATAAATAAGGGAGGGACACGACTCACGAGCCGCTCGCAGCAGACAGAATTCTCAGGTGCTATTAGACAATGTAGACATCCACTGTAATGTGCTCCTGTGGCTAGCAAGCTACTGGGGCTGGGCACTCGTGCACCATCATCCCAGACAGAGCACCACGAGAAGCAAGGCTGGAGAGAGCCCCAAGCTTTGAGGAATCTTGCATGGCAATCACTGGCCGACACGAATTCACAGCGAACAAAGCGAAGAAAAAGCCACTAGAGCACATTACTACCGTGGACTAAGAAGTGTGATCCATATCCCAAGGCGGGGAGGTTTTAGTGGACGTCCGAGCAATTGACACGATGACCGCCATGAAATGGCCCTGGTGAATGAGTTTACGACATTCACCTGTAGCACCAGCCACAGCCACGGACCTGCATTTGGAGGACAGTGGACATCTGCAGCTGATTAACATTTTGTCTTTCCTCATTCGCTGCTTTGGATGAAGAAAATGCAAATAGTATGAGGTTGGGAGAGCTCGCGGAGATAGTAACAGTTCGTTGTGTTTTGAGGGTTTGTCATCCAGGTGGGACCTTATGGGCAGCCGACACGGACATATCATCAGATTGAAATAGCCATGATCAGCGTCAGCTGGACACGTCTGTATAAGCGGCCTCCTCATGCTGCTCTGCTTGCGTCGACTTGTACAGAATGTTCTAGGCTCTGTGCGCTATCGCCATGCATAAAACAGCAGAAAATCCCTGAACAGATGGATAGTCAATGATACGAGGTTTTTTCTGGGGAATCATACCTGGCATCGAGCCTAATATTATAATACAATGAGCTCCAGAGTAGATGTCTTCGAGGCTCTTGAAGCGCGTTGAGGGTGCATGGCATCGTTTAGATCTTTTTCTCATTCTTTTGCCGAAAAAAAGTTTTCCATTCTTATCACTTCAGTATGCGGAATTGCACATAGAGACCTTCGCGGAGATATATAGAATGAGCGACCATCTGCTGGCACCTCGCACTGCTCCTACTTCCGGGGACCATCTTTCTCAGATCTTTACTCCTCTTGTATAGTATAGCATTACATGCTACTGGTTCCAGATCTACTGCTGCCAGGTATGCTTTTGCTGACTGACTTGCACATCAAGATGCAAACCTTTTTTGGCCAGCGGGCTTGTGTGTTACTGATAATCGTGTGGCCACAAATGACGGCTCTCTGGTATATTCAGGGCACTACTACGAAGTCAAAGACATTAGTTTGTTCACGATGAAAACCCACTTGCATGTTCCGTAGAGGTGTACTCCAAATTGCTGATGATTAGACAGAATATTGTCCTTGGTTTCGTCTCACAAAGCTTTTAACATATCGCAAAATGTGATGCAAACAGTTGAGACACATCTGAAGACGTTTTGAATATCTCAAGTTGCCTAGCAGAACTCTGAAGTCTAGCAACCCCTCATGAACTCAAACTAACGTCACCCTGAGATGTGGGTCAAATACAAGAAAAATTGGAGATCACCAATTGTGCAAATGATTAATGTGGAGTCAAGACGAACTTTTCCAAGAGCCACATGTCAATTCCAACAACACCAAGGAAGATTACGACTCCGTATCCGAGTTAGCCAAATTTAGATAAATCGTACACACACATATATGTCTGAGATCTTTCCGTTATGGCATTTTGCATGACGAGATTGATTTTGTTATGGCTCGCAACTTCAATAACGAAATTGATTCAATGGTAGCCAAAGAGAAGGGCTTTTACGTTGCCTGTGGATCATTAAACCTTCCAACTACAACAATTGAATATTGTACACCAATCGGGGAAAGAAATGAAGGGAAAACATTTTACTGACGCGTTGAGCGTCAGACGAGGAAGAATGATAGAAACGAGTAAAAGTGCCAACAAACTCCTGGTCCCTACCATGTCACACATCGGAGACAGGAAGCTCCTGAGATAGTGGCTTTTTCTGTTACTACAATCACAACCCCCAAGGATCACTACCTATGGATAACTTTTTGACCCTATACCTCATGGTATAACAGCTTATTTTGATGTGTTATGCCATCCCTAAAGCTGAAGTCATGGGCATGTAACGGATGAAATATGGGCATTTTTCAGCAAAGCTTTCAGAGAAATGATATTTAGTGGTTCCAATAAGTTGTTTTAATTGGTAGCAGATTTCATTCTCAAATAGTCGTGTTAGATTTTAGTTTCCGTTCGTTTAGGCTTG